CACACACACACACACACACACACACACACACACACACACACGCGCGCGCGCGCGCACACATACACGCACACACGCACACACGCACATACACACACACACACCATTTTTATAGATACACTCTGGTAATTCTTCAGCCAAGCATATTCAGCAAAAATGTTTTAGATAAAATTATCGGGATTAGAAACTAACAACTTTTGTTTGAAAAAAATTTTTATATGACCTTTATTTTCTAAGATATTTACGGAAATATCTGCAAAATTATTGGTTTCAATAATTTTTTACTCGAATACTATCAACTTTTCCGAAAAATAGTGAAAAATAAAAATTGTTTATTTTCTTCTCCTAAATCTCTGAGAATTTTTTCAAAAATTTTTATAAACCTTTTAGTACTTCAAGAAAATGCAAAAAATGCAGTACTAAGAAGTTAATTAAAAAATTCTAGAAAAATTCTCTAAATTCTAAATTTTATGAGAAGAAAATAGACAATTGTTATATGTTGCTATTTTTCGATAATGTTGATAGAATACGAGTAAAAAATTATTGAAACCTATAATTTTGTAGATATTTCCGTAAATATCTTAGAAAATAGAGATCGTATAAAAAATGTTTTTAAACAAAAGTTTGTTTTTTTTACATAGAATAAAATTCCGTAATAAAAGATATATGTTTCTATATAAAAAAGCAAAGTTGATCTCGACTTTGGCGGCGTCACGCAAGGACAAACCAATGGTACCTTCTTATGTCCTCCATTGAATCAACTTTTGTCTGAAACATTTTTGCTGAATATGCTTGGCTGAAGAATTATCAAAGTGCATTTTTTAAAATGGAACACCCTGCATGTATATATATACAAGATGTCCTAGATCACAATCTCTCGTGAGGACATATAACGGATTGAGATGAACATAAAAGTCCCATACCGATTTGTGATATTCGCAATAATAGTCGAGATATTAATTAAAGAAGATTGGTGAATGATCACGCGCGATATGATAGATGAGCTGCAGTGGCACCGTCTGCCGTTGTATACATTAAGTCAAACTGAACAAAAAAACTACCATTTTGCAAATGATCACATAAATTTTTAGATATTAATTAAAGAAAATTTGTGCATTATGATCATGTAACAATGATTGGTCTGGGAGATTTGGGACACCTTATATATTTCTTTTTTTTTTCTTTAAATTTGGTGTTATTATACTGATAATTTTTTGTGTCTACGAAGAGAAATACATAAGAAGATATAAATAATAAGTAAAATGATCCCCAAGCGATCGTGGAATCCTGTATAAAGGTTATATCTTCCTTGCAAATAACTTATATTTGATGATACAGAGGTATCAACATGGTTAACGATGATCATGGAAACCGGTGCATTGCAGAGGAATAGAACTCTCTACCTTTCTTTCTCGCACAAATATTGGACAATCGATATTCAACTGCTGTTTCATTTATACACGTTCTAAGACTATTGTTTACATTTTTTTTCTCTATCGATCCTCTGTAATCCGCGATGTGAGGTCCCGACGGTAACGGCGGAGAATAATATATAAACAAAAAAGGTTAGAATTTGTTTTTGTATAAATAGTTCTCTTATTCCTTTTCGAACGTCTTATCCGGAGTAGGGGAAAGAGAAGATTGTAATAGGATTTATAGAGTTAATTAGTTCCATTTCGAGGATTAAGACAAGTAAATATCGTAATATAAGATGTTTGTATCCACATTAAGACTTTCGCTTCGATCTGTTTTTCGAATACATATTTACACGTTTGACGTATATCCGTTCAGAAACGCCTGATAGAGATCGTTTCGATATAACTAAATGTTTAATTCTTTAAATCAATTTTGCGATCTATATGCACGTATATTTGAAAATAACACAACTGTCGTAACTGTTTAGACAATTACGAGTAGTCTTGCGCGGAAAAAAGCATATACACGCGATGTGATGTCACTGCTGATTGTCTTCCTTGTCTCGCACGATTACTATAAATTCTTCGCGAAAGATATATAAGAATTGACTCTTGTTTCTGTTTAAATATGTATAAACGAATAAACAAGTAAACATATTTAAAGTTAGTAAACGAATTCACGTTTTCAAAAGCAGGTATAATAGTGATTGTACTGTATTATATATATCTGTAAACGTATATAAAATATTTAGAATTAAATAAAAATTTCGTTTAAACGTATAACATGGAGTTCTATTTCACATTAAGGTGCGTAGACGTAAATTTGAAGAAAGTCTCGTCCACAGGTGTCGCCGTTCTCTTCGATATTAGTTAAGGGTACAACTGCAATTTCGCAAACATTTTCCCGAAGTGCTTATGTATCCCTTTTTGTCGGACTTTAGAACTCCAAATTGCGAAAGTCCGAATACTTTGAGAAGGTTTTCTCTAGTGCGCTTTTTTCAGATACCCTTTCTCAGCTACTGGCGCAGATATACGTTTTTTCCTATCGCGTCGACTAACACAGTAATCATCCACGAACTGAATATAATTTGCTTAAACATTGCTATGATCAGCTTAAAGTATAATTTTATACCCAAGTGTTATTTATCTCGGGACATCTTGTTGATCATTTGTTTGCGATTTATACTTGTTGATCATTTATTTGTGATTTATACTTATTAGCCTAAATTTCTTATGTTTTTTTCTTCCTTCTACCTAATAAATCCTTCTCTTATACAGCTGACAAATCCCATTTTGGTAAAAAGATGATAGTTTTAATTCAATAAAAATAATAATCCGAGGAGACAAAGTCTGGAGAATAAGCCGCATGAGAGAGACTTTTCAAGTCCAGAGAAGAGATGATTTTCAGGGTTGCTTTCGCCGTATGTGGTCGCGCGTTGTCGTGCAGCAGACATCTGTCTAATTCCACTACCGGTAAATGTTACCGGTAATCTTTTTTTGCTCAATTGCGTCATTAAAATTAACCATCTGATAACGCTCAGAAGTAACAGTTTCACTGGATTTGAGCAACTTATAATAAAGAACATCTATGAAATCACATCAAATACACAGCAAAAATACTTTTTTAGTATGAATATTCGGTTTAGTATGAATATTAGTTTAGTACTTATTGATAGTTCATCCAAATAAACCCACGACTTATATATTTTGAGGTTGTCGTACAAAAATCATTTTTTATCCCCAGTTACAATTTTATGAAGAAAATCCTTTTATTCGAATCGTGACAGCAGGAACATTGCCGTGTCACAGTGTCTCACTTTCTTTTCGGGACTAAAGGAATCTAATGCCTTCTATATTCTCCCAAGCTTCTTTAAGCGAACGGAAATAGCTTGTTCCTGCTGCGTCTGACAAGAATTTTTGTTCAATAGCTACTCCAATTCCTCGCCTTCAATTTTCTCCGGCATTGCACTGTGTTCTGCATCAATAAAATCAAATTTGCCACTTCGAAATTTTTGATATCACTTTTTGTACGTTTTATGGGTCACAGCATCTTCGTATAAAGCGGAACCAATTATTTCGGCAGCTTCAGCAGCATTCTTCTTTAATTAGAACGCGAAAAGAATACAGTGTCTAATATTCTCCTTCTGAGAAGTCATATGCAAACTACTGTTTCTTGAAGTTATGTTGCAAACAGAGTCAGATTATATAATGCATTTAGAAGGTTAAAATACTTCAACTTCAAAATACTTCAAAACCAAAAAACGGCGAGAAAAAATATTAAATTAAAAGAGTTACACTATATTAAATTAATATATTAATATATTAAATTAAATAGAATTACAACTGATTAAATGTAAAGGCACGGAACTTATTAGTACATATAATACAAGCATATAGCGGCAGACCATCATAGCTCATTTACCGTATAGTGCCTGATCATTCACGAATTCTTTGATTAATATTTTAGAATTTTACGTGTTATTCGCAAAATAGTAAAGGAAATTTTTGTTCTGTTTGACCTAATCTACTTGTACAGTGCCACTTCTCCGTGAGTTACCCCATATACACCCTCTCTCTTCAACCTGATCAATTTTTCTCTTACACAAATATTCTTCAATTTGTCGCATTATTTCGTGTAACGATTAGTGTATCGTAAGAGAAAATTTTACATGGAATTACATAAAATATTATAACACTTTTAGGACATTAATTACTTGAAATATTTTACAGTCAGTTGTAATTGCTTGACGTACTCACCTCCGAATTGTACACTAAGAATGGCGAATCTACTGATATTAAAAAGACCTAGAGTACAGCCGAGACAAGCGAGAGCCGGGCTGAGAGCGTGAGGCCACTTTCCCAGTGGATTCTCGTCCTCGTCGTCGTTCTCACCTCTATCATTGTGCCTATCGATGTCTCTTTGTCTTTCGCATATTCTGAAAGCAATACAAGAAAACAAATTTTTAATAAAATTACAAAAAGTAAAAAAAAGTTACAAATAAAGTGTTTTCACACTCTTATACAAATATTTTTATATCAAATGACATGTTTATCCACATGTTATAAGTAGATTAGCTTTTAACATGTTTTAATTTTAACACTTTTTATAATGATTTTCAATCTATCTTGCCTAAATTTACACTTCAAAAAAAAAGTTTTAAAATATCTACTAATCTTGGCAGAGTATAAACATCGTAAAATCACACAGAAGAAATCATTCTAAAAAGAACAATTATATTCAGTTTGATTTCTTTTAAGTAATGATTATCTTCAATAAAGAGTATTTTTCTGATAATATATTCTAACATTTCTTGGTCTTAAATATATTCATCATAAATAAAAAAAAATCTTATTATGTATTCAAAAGAAAAAAAAAATTTTTTCTCTTTACAAAAGTATTTAAAAAAATTGTATCAAAGAAAAGATTGAGTCAGTTCTAAGCAAACCGAATTTTATTTTAACTTAATATTCTTAATTAAGGTGCTAAATTTATTAAAGTTCAAAATGTATTTTGGATAAGTTTGGTGCTTATGATAAACTAATGATATATTTGCGGACATATATAACTCTTATATAAAGTATTTAAAACAACTAATATTAACTTGAATGCAATATACATTTTTTTGTGTATATATGCGTAATAAATGCAACGCGTTCATATCGCGTATGTCTTGACTTCCGATTGCGATTCACGAGCCGATGCCGTCTGAGGTCACGCTAATCCGCGGCGAAACTAGGTCGAGTGTTTTATCGGGCGTACTGTTTTAATACGGAAAAGAATTTATCGTTGATTGCAAACTTATCCGTTCGATTTTTCAACTAGATGTGTGAAGAATTGGCTTATATTAAACCGAAAGCACCGTCTACGACGAAATTATTCGAGATAGAAAATGTTTGTTTTTCGTCGTTATCTACAATAAATCTATAATTCGTCGTTACTATAATAAATCATTGTGAGCGATTAAGCTGCTCGGAAATCCAATGAAATGAATTCCGATAATACGTGACGAGCATCAACAGTGAATTATGCCGTAGGCTTAACTTGTACTTAACGTAATTATTCCAACGGGCATTAAATCACCAACGACGGCAGACACACCCCGTAGATCGCATAGTAATAGCGATAACAGATTGACCATCAGATTGGTACCGTTATTGAGCAATAGACAAGCAACACAGGGGAGACGAAGCATCGTGACTCGATCCTTTTGCGCCAAAGCGGAAGTTTCATTGCACGAGAAAATCACGGCTTTAGTTGACGTTTTATTGCACGCGGGAAGAAACTCCTGCGTGTTATTCGTTAAATGAAAATAAATTATTGATTGGATTTGCTCATATGTGCATTGTGATATTATATCGTATACAATTAGACGACACTTTGTATAAAACTAATGTACTATAAAAAAAGATCCATCGAAACAATGACAGAGTGTACAAAAGTGGAAGTTGCGTTTTTCTCGTCGAAAAATCAACAATATATAAAAGATTATAAAAAATAGCAAAAATATATAAAATTTTAAAATGTCAGGAAATTTGAAATATATGCTCTCGATATACATTAAACATACATTAAAATATGTGAGAAGTTTGGAGTTAATTGATTCAGTAGTTTTCGAGAAATCTTGCTCGCCTATTTCGAAAACATACAGAGAAAAGTAATTTTGCTGTTGTAACGGAACCGTCATTAACGTTATTAATACACGTTATTAATATACTGTAATTAATTATTAACCTAGAATTAGGTTCATAGTAATGATAACAAAAACATTCATTTGTTATTAATTTTGCGAATTATTTACTATTTTTTTATTATTAATTTTTCGAATTATTTACTATTAGGGTAGAAACAGTTTAGATAGAAATATTTTGATAGAATAGAAAAATTTTACTAAATGAATTTATCTTCAGAAATATTTTTCTGTTAAAATAACATATATATTCTTAGCAAATGCATTTGTTATTGCGACGAAACCACTATTGCTGATACGAAATCCTTGTGTGACAACAAAGTTGTTGAAGTTACCAAAATGCAAGTTAATAATTTCTCGTCAACTTGAACAGAATTCTGATAACTTCAGCTGATAATTTCTGGTTTATTCATACTTCATAAAAAATTTAATTAATCTAACCAAATGTTTTTTTAATAATTTTTATGACGATTTATTAATTCTAATTTTATTAATTCTAATTTTATTACTTTAGTCAACTATAATTTTAACCGATTAATGCCCAGCATTGTCAAGCAATTCTTTATGCCACTATAGCAAAAAGAACATACACTAAAACATTGGCATCGGGTCGTTCCTCCCTGATGAAGCGGACTGAAATGTTCGCGAAACATCGGAATCAAAGATGAATCCACGCGGCTCAAACTCGGAAACCAAATCTAATATACACTAAAACAATGGATCATCGCGCGTCAATGATGCGTTATATCTACCTGAACTACATACTCGCTTTACGTGTGCGTATGTGTGTATGGTGTGTGTGTTTAATCTCAATCAAAAGCTAGTAACAACATTATATGAGAAAAATGCTGTTACAGGCATTTACAGGCATTAAGACAGTGACCTGATTTAGAAGACGAAAAATCGATGATTTTCGGGAATTTTTTCAAAGAGAATGAAATAATCAACCTCTGTGAAATTTTGGTTACATTTTAATGCACATTTCAGCAATGCAAAAAATTTTTTTATTGTAAAATTATTTAAAAATGGCCGAGTTGTTAGGTGACAATCAAAACGCCTCGCTACTTGAGTTTTTGATTGGCGGGACAAATGAAGCTTATAATTTTTGTCTAAAAAAAAACCAAAAATATTTTTAATTTACATGTATTTTTATAGTTGATAAACTAAGAAAACTAAGAAAAAAGCATAAAATCATAAAAATGTACGAACTTAAACGAAAAAGTGACAATTTTGAAAGAAGAATTTTCCGTTGTTTATGCAATTAAAGTGTAACCAAAAGTTTACAGAGGTTGATTATTTCATTCTCTTTGAAAAAATTCCCGAATATCATTTTTTCGCCTTCTAAATCAGGATATTGCCTTAATTATTTTTCTCTATATATGTTTTCGGAATAGGCGAGCAAGATTTCTCGAAAATTACTAAATCAATTAAGAGGGGAATCTACAGGGTCGAAAAATGTCGATTTTTTTTCATAAATCGATAGTACAACTGTTTGAGAATATATTCCTAAAATTTTAGAGCGAATTTCGAAGTCCTTCGGTAGATTCAGCGCTTATAACGGGAGCGCGACGCACTGTTATACGGACGCGCGATGCGGAGCGCGCTCCGTCTCTCAGTCACTTCTTTACATTGGTTCATTATTTGTTCGTTAAACTAATATGAGGCAGCGTTTATATATATCTGGTTTTCTATTTGAAAATTTGTTTGTATATATAAAAAACACACAAACTTGGTGGTAAAGGAAAACTGACAGATGTTCTAATCAAAAAGCTAACTACATAACAGGTTTGCAATAAGGAGAAATCTAAATTCTGTAGCCAACATGAAAAAAGTGATATGGGCAACGTTAGAACATTTATGCTCAACAAATGAAAATCCGCGGCACGATAAATGTCCGGCCGAAGCCTACAGTTGGTACTAATATCGAAAGTATGAGACAATGGGTACAGTGGAAAACTATAATCAACCCCCTCCACTCCACTCAGATATCAAGAAGCATTTAATTTTTATTTATACCGATTTATCAAATGAAGATTTGTTAACGCGATGTCTGGGTGGACATACCCAAAACACTAACGAGAATTTCAACTCGACCATCTGGAGACTGGCGCCAAAGCATCTCAATTACGGTGCAAAAATAATTGAAATAACTGTTTTTATTGACGCTGGCATTTTTAATGAGGGATATTCTGCCATTTTAAAATTTATGAATAAATTAGAAATTAATATTGGACCGGAATGCAAGCAATATGCAAATATGTATGACACACAGCGAATCTTTAGGAAGAAGCGTCGACGAACAAGTAGCACGAAAGAGGCCCGAGCAGCTCGTAAGATGGCTCAAATTGCTCAAAACGAATTTAATGAGGAAGCTGAAGGGCTACTGTATGGCTCTGGAATAGCAGATTAACCTCTGAGCACTGTAAGTATTCAAGAATTATACCGAAAACTTTAAACGCGTTTTTCTCGAGATCTGTTTCTTGCATTTTCTTCAATTTTATGTACATGATTAACAAAAAACTATTTGATCAATCGACTTTTTATGAAGTTCGTTAGTTAGATAATACTAAACTCTCCTCGATGAACCTTAAAAATAAAAAAAAAAATTAATATTAACTATTTCTTTTTTGCATAAAGTAACCTCTTAAAGTAGACTCCCCCCTTAACTTCAAACTTCTCACATATTTTTAATGTATGTATCGAGAGCATATATTTCGAATTTCCTGACATTTTAAAATTTTATATATTTTTGCTATTTTTTATAATCTTTTATATATTGTTGATTTTTCGACGAGAAAAGCACAACTTCCACTTTTGTACACTCTGTCGGTGTTTCGATGAAACTTTTTTTATTAATTTTATACAAAGTGTCATCTAATTGTATACAATATAATATCACAATGCACATATAAGCAAATGACTGTATGTTCTTTTGATTATGTTTTTGATTTCTGAGAAATTTTAATCGAAAGTATTATTGACGTGAAAACTCTGGATAAGCTATTGGTAATGCCATGACATTTATATCGCAAACATAGTCGCATCCGATCTGTCGTTATTTTTTCTTTATGTATTTAACGTCGTGGCACTATCGTGCTATTTGATTCGATATGATCGCGCATACATTGTGTCCATAAGCATGTGTGGTTGGTGTAAAGCTGACGTCTTATACTGTTTTCTTCTCTAGGCGGTGCTTGGGCAGTATTTATGTGAGATTCGCCTAATATCGCTAGTGCCGAGAACTCTCT